CGTGGTCTTGGTCGCCGAATAGTCCGGGAGCCGGGGGCCTTTTTGGTGGGCAAGTTTATTTTAGCAAGGCCTAAACAATTTTTCTCTGCAAAAATGTTGTCAGGTGTGAAACAGGTGGTCATTGAAAAAAAATATATTAATATAATTTAATTTTTATAAGAAATCTTATAGATTATTTTAGACAATATTTGAAATTAACAACATAAGCTTAACTTTAATGAACGGAAATCAATAGGCTCACAATTTTGTTTTTTGTCCTACGTATACTAATGAAAAAAGTTTTATCGTGTAGTAGACAATTTCGAAATGTAGGATTAGCAAAATGACCCCAAAAAATTAGTTGGACAAGATGACCATTTTATAATGTTAATATTAATGAAGCTAAAAATAAAAATCATTTGTCTGTTAATCAAAATATTTAAATCACTAAATCGACGTGTTTTTGCCTGCTCAATTTCATAGGGCCCCGTTTTGCAATTTTTTACAAGGGAGAAAAGTTGGGCGTCTCGGCAGAATAAAGCTGCTCACGAAAAATAATAAATAAATAAATAAATAAATTGGTAGGACAATTTGGCCATTTAATAAAGCTAATATTTACCAAGCGCCAAAAAAATCAGTTAGACATTCGTCACTTTTTATTTTTTAATATTCATACCTGTTCAAGATGGGGGCTACCTTTAATGGACCAATTTTTTTTGTAGGACAAATATTATTTCAAATATTTTATAAAATAATCTATAAGATAAAGAAATAAATAAAAATTAGATTATATTAATAAATTTTTTTCAATTACCAAAAACACCTGTTTTACACCTGCCCCACTCGACAACATTTTTGCAGAGAAAAGTTATGTAGGTCTTGCTAAAATCGTTTTAAAAAAAGACCCCCGGCTCCCGGACTAAAAGAACGTTTCGGTTCGTCAGTGGTATGGAGTAAGCGCCACCGCATTGTTTAGATCTGTTACGGTACAACGAAAAATAGAGGACAAAATGAAGATCATGCGACTGATCACTGGAAGGACACGACATTTGAAGAAGAAGAGTGGCTATAGTGGCTATAATGTGTATAATGCGTATAAAAGACTCAAGTCTCGGTTGGGACCGCCTCAAGTCAACGGGAGCTCGGAGAAAGATCCACCCTATCAATTTTCTTCCGCCCCCTTCGCGCCCGGGCTTTCGCGTGATTAGCAACTTCGTCGCAGTTTAAAAATACGGTCCCGACAGCCTCCCAAATAATAAGCATCGTTAATTTTAATAAGTTGCCATCTTTCTCAAAGGAAACTCGTTGAATTATCATTTGCATGCAGCCGCGGCAGCTCTCCCGCCGCCAACTTTTCCCGATGAAAAGTATAAAGTTTCTGGAGCGGCACTGTTTAAATGTTTGCCCGAGAAGTGGGAGGCGCATATATATCATCCATCTACCTGCCTCCGCCTGCCTCATATTAATTTTAGATTCGCGTTTGCCGCGGTGTGACGTCGACGTCGACGTGTGGACGGGCCTTTAACTAGACCGACCACGCCCCGCCGAACGCGTAGGAGTGGCTATCTCATTACCATAGTCTTGTTCAATGTCTTTGATAACTTTGCCAATCATGCTGATAGTTTAGGTAAATGTCAATTATTTTTATTTTCCAACGGAACGCCCTGTAAATTATTTTATACGGGGTGTCGCAAGACATGACTATTTTTCATTAATTTATATTTTATTTTATTGAATTAGTCGTTCAAAATGTCCGCCTAGTTGCCGTATACAAAATCTAGCTCTTCTTAGAATCGAAGGGGTAGCTCTCCAAGCCATCTCAGGCTCAGCACTGCTGCATCCATAATTCCAGCAACCAGTTTTCAATGTTTTTCAAAGTTTTCAGTCATCCGAATAAAAAGTAATGTTAAGGCATTAAGGTCAGGTGACCTTGTTGGCTGAACCTCTGCCAATCCACCGGTTTGTATAATTTTGATTGATGAGTGAACGCGGCTTCATCACCAAATAATATTATCCGACAAACCCTTTGATTTTTCACCTGGACTTTTTAATATTAATATTAACATTAACAGCTGAACGTAATGCTGGAAGAACTAATTCAACAAAGCGGTTTCTTTTTAAATGGTCTTTCTCAAATTTCAAATGCTTGTAGCTCAGTCACCCCAGCAACGCATTCCCAAGCTATGGCAGTCATGCCGTGGGATATCCTGTAAACGTATAGATATTTTTTCTTATTAAAATATATACTACAGTTTTGTAAAAAGAGCATGGTCTCTTTAAAATGACATTCAAGTCTTAAAACAAGATAGGAGCTATAAAAAAGGCAATCACAACAAATAACCTCGTTTTCTCTTAATTAACCACTTAATTCATCAATTACTTATCACAGAACAAAAATAATGAAAATTAATACTCAGAATGATTTAAATATTTTGAAATAATTTAAGTTGGCTATTCTTTTGAAAAAAAGTTAAAATCTCAAGCATTCTTTTCTAAGTTTTAGCATTCGTTTTGTTTATAATTTGTCTGTTTCTTCTATAATTCGTATTACCACCATTATGGTTATTTGGGTTATATCAAAGTTTTTGGCATTTTTTCCATACTTACAAAAATCATATGGTTTTCTGGTTTATTTCTATTGTTTCTTTGGGTTACATTTTTTCGGGTATTATTTATAAAATTCGCTCTAGGAGAGCAATGAGGTTTTTACGGATAATCGGCTTTTTCAAAAAGTATACACTGTGGGGGAATTCAAGAAAGTCTTAGTGTATTGCTGGAGGAAATTTCTCAAAAAAAAATTTTTTTTGACTAAATATATTATGTAAATAAACTACAAATATACTACAATAAACGTTTCTGGTGGGAGTATCAACATTTTTAAATCCAAAATTTTTCCTCCTACACTGCGAGAATCGAGCAAGAATCATTAACATTAACATCCCCCTTAGTCAATAATTCTTAGGAATTTTGAATGAATGACTTCGCAGATGTCGTGAGATAAATGTCTATTTATTCTTTCTACTAAAAGATGGATTGTTATTGGTCTATTAATTGGACAGATAGCTGGTCATCCTAACCCATTTTGTCTCAGTGGTGCGTTAATGCGTTATGATTTTTTTTGTCACATCCAGGAAATATTTTTACTCATCTATTTAGAAATTTTATTATTATGGCTATTAAACCACATAAAACCGTAGAAATCGCTAATTTATGTGTAAATGACAGATCTTATATACGACTTCAAAAGTTAACAAAAGCGGTGCATAAATTTGTATTACATTTTCAAGTAAATCCAAAATAGTAAAAGAAAATATTTTGGATTTGTATTGCCATTTTTGTTAAGTCTATAGCATGTAGATTGCATCGCAGAAAACATACATTGGAAATACTATATTGATTATGCTTTATTTTTTGAAAATATTTACTGGTGCGTGAATGCACCACTGGTTTTATCGGTGAAACAAAACTTTATTTTGTTATCAGTTTGTGCCTTGTGCGGTGAACGTTACAGTTCGTAAAATATGGCATTTCCGAGGTATTTGACTCAAAAGGAATTAGAGGCGGCTATGGAGGAGATCGTGATGGATGAGGACAATAACAATGAAAGTCGTAAGTATTATTTGAATTTACGTATTCTTCTATATTGAAGCATTCCTTGTAAATTTATGATAAAAATAACGCGGAAGAATATTTACAGAACATATTGACGCGGACTATATTCCACCCGACGTGGATACCTTGACTGACGAAGAAGATATGAACGATAACACAAATCTACAAGAGTTTGGGGAACCACCTGATGTAGTTGGAACTTTCGAGTTACATGTACCGAATGATACAGCTGTCCTTCAGCAGTCCTGTAATTCATCAACTACTGAACCTGAATGGGACTCATCAGATGATGAAACCCTTGAATTCAAAAGAAGACGTATGCTTTTTGCAAACCGCAGACTTGCTTCTACTGTCAAATGGAAGAAACGTCGGATTGGGTATACTCACACACCTATATCCGATGAATTAAGATCATGTGAGGAACTAAAAAATAGGCTTTCTGGAAAAACTCCGCTTGAAATATTTTTTGTTTTTTGATGACGAAGTGATTGATTTGATTTTAAGTCTTACATTGCTTTGCGACTTTTAAAAACTGATAAAACAATTACTCAAAGAAATCTTGCACCAACCATAGATGAAGTGCGTTATGATAATGATGGTCACCTCATGATTGTTCATGCTAATAAAGCCCGAAGGAGATGTAGAATCTGCCACAGCCACATAATTTACGTTTGTAATAAGTGTAATGTGCCTGCTTTGTGTCATGCTTTGTAAAATATCACCAAAAATGAAACCGGGTGTTACCAGTGGTGCCCTCACGCACCATAAAATATGCGTTTTACATGTTACAAGTTACATCTTATGTGAACCAAAATATTATTTAATGTTTTTTCTCAGTGGTTCGTTTACGTACCAGTATTTTTTTGTATGTTTCGAGTTTTTTTTTGATACATGTAATGTATTCTTAAGTGCAACAAAATAAATAATTTCAGAGCAAAAAAGTATTTTTTATTTTTTTATGCTTGGGATAATATGGGATAAAAACTTTTAGGTAAGCTATTTATTAATTAATGCTAATTGTTACAAAATACGAGATGTTGAAAGTTAGTTTTTAAACTAGGAATCTATTTTTTAATGTCGCTTTAGAAAAAAAATCAGTAGGTGGCGAATTTGTTTTTTATAACTGAAATATTTGTTTCCGCAGAAGCGATTTAAAATGTAAGCGGAACAGTGTCGGCGTAATCTTTAACCGCGACGCCGCGTTTCCCCCTTTTTGGATATTTCCGGAGCAATTTCAAAAATAGATTGTTTTCAAAACTAGCGTTTTATTTTAAACCCTCATTAAATCGGAGGTTGATGATATTTTTAATGGATACCACACTGTGGCACGCTGCTAATATTTTTTTTATTTAATTAGTGTATCTTGTTGATAAATCTATGTTTTTTAAATAATCAAAAATGGCACGTACCCGATATGTCTATTATGTGCACCCCACCGAATCTCAACTCTCGACTACCACCCCCGTCGAACAAATGATTTAGTGCGGGTCGCGTGTACGGCCAAAGTCGCGGAACGACGGCTGTGTTTTGATCCGTCGCGGCGCCCGTCCGAAACGCCACGTGCTTTTCAACCCCCCTCCCCCAAAATGGGATAATAATAATCGGGGAGGAGCTTAACGAGACGCCAGGCGGGGGGGTTATCCAAAACGCCACAGGTGATCGCCCGGTGACGGTTAAAATCTGGCCGACCGACCGTACGCATTGGAAATGAAAACAAAAATAACGTTAATTTTGTAATTTTGGTGTCCAGTGATAATTTTGATTGCGTGTTCTGCGGCGCGGCGCGCCATCTAGTTACCGCCGGTGACACTAATCGTTTGAACGACAGGATTCCTTTGCTTGGACAAACAAACATTTCCTGGGGTCTGATGCCGAACGCATTTTCTGCTAACAGGACTCTGATCGTAAAGGTAGTGGTTGTGCTCTCTTCAGTGCTCGTGCTCGCGGTGGTCGTTGTATTTTTAGCGTTTTTCACACGCAAAAAGCAGGACGATTGAAGTTGTCAATCGTCATCGCGACCGACCCGAAATGCAACTGTGGTTTTGAGGTTATGTTCGGGGCCCTGCAATTTATTATTTTTACATATTTATAATTCGAACGCTGACAATGATTAAGGTACGCGCGACTAAGCAACTTTTAAGCCGTAATTTGCTAAAAAAATGCGGACAGTGTTTGTCTTCGACGGCCGTCGAACCGGCGAGGGATGCCGAGCACGACAAAGAGTATCAGAAACAGTTAAAAGCCTTCGAAACGTTAAGGCACGTGACTAGGAAGACGCGCGAGAAAAAACCGCAAAGGCCGCCGTTCGTTAAAAATCTGCTGTTGGGTGTTTTCGATACCGAGGTATTAACGTATCCCCAACTAGACAGGATGGACGAGGTACGGGATTTGGAAAACGACGCTGTTCAGTTGCGAAAGTTGTTGGGACGACCTCACATGAAAACGGTCCGGGCTATGTCGGACAAACATTTCAGACAGAACTTGTCCGATCATCGTGCCATTGGTTTGCAAGCCCCACAGTTAATGGACGGCCGGGAAACCAACATGATGGAAAGCATGAGATTCTTGGAATCATTATCGGACCACGGCTTGAGAGATAGCCTCATTTATAATGAACAGCTGAGTGTGCAATCTTTGGTTAAGTTTGCAAATGATGATTTGAAGAAAAAGTATTTGCATCCCATGATAACGGGCGAGAAGTTGGGAAGCTTTTGTTTGTTGGAGCAAAGAGTCGGTGATATTAATTCTTTTGAAACTCGTGCGGAAGCTGCGGCTGATCAAAAGAATTGGGTATTTATTTTGCTATACAACAAAGATATATAACATGTTACTGTTTTTGCCAATTGAATGTGAAACCAAGGTGTTTAGACTTGCTCTCTTCTTGTATTGTAGTATTGTTTCTGTAATATTCGAATAGTTGATTTGCACTAAGTCTAGACCTTGCTTGTAGGCCACAGCTGATGATTTTTAAAATGATAATGTGGACGCCAGGGGTTTTCTAACAAATAACATGTTAAATAGCAGTGTTACCTAACATGTCATTAAATGTGGACTCTGCTTAACGCAAAATCCATTGGTATCATATAATAACCATCAAGTGTTATTAGGTTTTAAATGGATCCAAAAGCTGGGTAGTCAACGGACTCTCTGCAGATTATTACATAGTAGTAGCTGTTACTGATGTCATACAGCGGGACACAGTGAAGCAAGTGAGGCTATCATTGTTTTTGGTGGATAAACATTCTCCGGGAGTTGCATGGGAAAAACTTGAATCATCCGACACAGAACTGACCACCGTTACCTTGGAGAATGTTCTTGTTCCCGCAGGTCTAGACTTTGAAATAGTAGCCAAAAGAAGCTACAATCGCATGTTTTAGAAAATGTTATCGGTGAGCTGCACGAAGGTGAATCCATGTTGAAATCCCTAATAACCGAGTTCAGGTTGAGTTGCGGACCTATCTCTATCGCCCTAACCAAGCGCATGCTCGGTAAGCTACACGATGCGATTGTGGAGCAAGTAACGGACGCGAACCCTCTCCACGAAACCGAGGCTGTGCGTTCTCGAATAGGGGAGGTAAGGCTATTGGCGGTAAACCAGAGTTATGGGTGGTAAAATCCTTCTTGCAGTTAACCATCAATCTGTACGGCATGGAAAGCGTGACATACCTCACTGCCGGGTTGATGGATTGGTATGAAAACCAAGACTGTTTGGTCGAAAGCGCTATAGTGAAGGTGAGTTTGGGTTACTACAAGATAGGAAATTTAAAATGAATGAATGAAAAATATCACTCAACTTTATATTAACGATGACTTAAAAGATCTGATGCAGAAAGACATAACTTGTTACTTTCGAAAATCGATGAAATCGTCATGTTCGTTCTCCGTTCTCGTCTTTTGGTTTTTCCTGAATAACTTTGGAATCGTTGGAGCTGCTAAATTCAATTTGATTTGATAAAGACACGGTGTTGTCGAAACAATTGTCATGTCAAAATATACAATTTCGTGAAAATCTGAACTTTTAGTTCTTATTTATTTTGATAAATAGATTTTCATCAAGTAAAAGCCTCCTCAGTTCAAACTCGTGAGTCAAATGCCGTTTACCGTATAATATACTATTTCGGTTAAATTATTTTTAAGTATGCTTTTAAAGGCAATTTTTTATAATTTTTTAACCTCAGTGAGAAGTCTATTCTAAAGTTTAATAGTTAATTTAATAAATTTAAATTAAATAATTTGCAAAGGTATGTATATGACTTAAATAAAATAATTGTCAGTATTCTGTTTTGTGCTCCGAACCGCACAGTTGCCCCAACACACGATGGCATATGACAAGCAGGATTGTATGTAGCCATAATAGTAAAGTAACAAAAGCCGAACATCAACCTTATATATCCGTTGCCAAGGTACATACGCATAAACTGGCAGTTTCTTAAGTACTGCATCAACCCCAATTACTCCACGTAAAGTGTTTGTCAATAAAAACTCTGAATTGTTTAACCATTTTATTATTTAATTTAACAAGAATATCTCTTATTTAAATGTGTCAAGCTAAAAAGCATCAAGCATCGTCCGCGTATAACGTAATGAGTAGGAAATTTCTGTCTAATTTTGTCAAAGAAAATTATGAATAACAGCGGCCCAGTGTGCTTCCTTCAGGTGCTCCACTGATAACTGGAGCATAAGATGAATTAACCGAGATATCATTATTTTTTAAACTGGTTTTTTGTTCTCTTCCAGTGAGATAAGACTGTATCCAACAATAACTAATTCCGCGCATCCCGCACTTATAGAATTTATTGAGCATTAATCTATCTAATCTATAACATGAAGAGCTTTCCTCACATCAATTGACATCTTTTGTCTAGGAATGACAAGTCCAGAAAGCATGCCTTGGATTCATTTATGGCATTTGTCATAGAGAACCTATCACTTATAAATGGCTTTCTATGGAGAAGCATAGAACTCAACTGTGTTGTTTCATAAAATTATTATTACAGATTGACCATCGTATCTAACAATTTCACTTATAATATTTATATTTCGTTTTGTTGTCATTGGGTGCATTTAAATATCAATGTAAAGAGCTCTTTTAAGTTAATACTATACGAGTGACTTTGTTTGTTTAGATACGGTTTTTTTAAGTGACTCTTTTACTGTCTTTTTTCCTTCCTTTCGTACAGTTTGCTTTTTGTAGAGGATTTAGAACTTTTGAGTAATTGGCATTGTCAACATTAATAAACGTTATGAGGGCAGCGCCAAAATTTCCCGGCCTGAATATGAAACACAAAGTAGAGTAACAATTTTTGATTATTTTTCAATATAATCCCCCTTAACTTTAATACACTTATTACATCTCCTTATTAACAACTCAATCCCTTTAAAAAAATATTCTTTTGGTTTGTCTGCAAAATGAGCTAAAACAGCCTCTTTTAACTCAACTTAACTTAACTAAACCGTCGTCCACATAAGTCCTTTTTTAAATATTCAAACAAATAATAGTCGCTGGGGGCCATATCTGGACTATAGGAAGGATCATCTATCTGTTGGAACCGACACTCTAAAATGGCAGCTTGTGCAACAGCAGCAGGTGCATTATCATGCAAAAGACGCACGCCTCTGGTCAGTTTTCCTCTACGTTTTACACGTATGCAGTCTCGCAATTTATGTAATAATGTTGCGTAATATTTATCATTGTTAACATTGTATTAGTTTCTTTAAAATCTATCAAAAGAATTCCTTCACAATCCCAAAAGATCGTGGCCATCACCTTTTTTGTTGACTGGCAGACTCTGAATTTTCTTGGAGGTGCTTCACCCTTACGATACCACTCCATTGATTCTTTTTTCGATAAAGGGTAATAATAGTTTCATCTCCCGTCACAATAGTTTCTTTCACTGGCTTCGGTTCCGACCCACAGATTTCTAAAAAAGACCGCGCATACTCGACACGGCGTTGTTTTTGAATAGCGGAAAGATTTTTAGGAACCCATCTTGTACTAATCTTATGCATACCTAAATAATCATGCAGGATTCGACGAACACTTGTATCAGAAAGCTTAATAATTTCTGAAATTTTCTTGACCTTTTTTAAACGTCGATCACTCAATACCACTTCTTCCACTATCGCAACAAGATCTTCCGTTATGACCTCCACTGGTCGAGCAGTTCTTGAATCATCTTCAAGGGACTCCTGCCCCATTCGAAAACGTTTTGCCCTTTCTTTCACTACAGAATACGAAGGAGAACTTTGGCCTTATACACCAACACCATCCAGCCTTTTTTTAGTAATTTCAGGTGCTAACCCTTTTGTCATAAACTTTATGACTGCTCTATACTCAATTTGCGTTATTTTTAGCCCAAGACTTTAATTTTTTTTTAGCAGCCTACTAAGATATATATTTAAAAGAAGACAAAGTTTTATCGTGATGCTAGAGCTGCATCTATGGCAGGCCGGGAAATTTTTTCGCTAACCTGGTATATATAGTTTACATGGGGGGCTGAACTAGAATCTGTATTAAATTGAATTTCGGCCTCCTTTTTGCTAGTAAAATTGGCTATTGGATATAGATGCTGATTATACAAATACTTTTTGTTAATATTTTATAACAATGACTCGGGGCATGGGTGCGTTTCCAGGCATTTTGCTCGCAAGGCGCATTCGACGCGTCCAACGCGTGCATAGAGCTGATGGGACTCCCCGCGGTGTCCAAGGACCATTGGTGTCACGCTATCCACGACGAAACGATCAAATATCTGACGTTGCACGAGACTAACGACGCCCAAAAATTAACGATAGCGATAGAGTGTTTCGCTCACGCGGGCGTAAGTTTGGTGACCCCAAAGATCGCGTGCGGAGACGAAACCTCCCGTCTTTTCAGAAAGCGCTGCAGGAGAAAATAAAAAGACTGCGCAACCCCTACTTTAACTTGGGCTACATGGTGGCGCACTCGTGGAGGAACCGTCGAAACGAGAACGACGATCCCAAGCTCGATCTCGGCCTCGTGCAGTACATCCATCCCAGCCTGGACGGCCCCTCGAAATTCTTGGAGTGAGTTGAGGTGGCGAGCGAGTGTGATTTGTTTCTTTTCAATATTCGCGGCAGGTATTGCGTAAAACGTATCGAGTTCGCGACCGAAGTGTTGCTGAGTCAGCACGGCTTAGACATAGTCAATCAGCACCTGCGGCTACGGCGGATAGCCGATTGCCTTATTGACGTTTACGTCGCGACCGCGTGTCTAGGTAAGCTTCGCATGATGAAACTATGCTATGCAAAGTCTGGGACATTTGAGAAAAATTAAAATTTTGGCATTGGATATAGTTTTCAGTCTCGTATTATATGATAATCCCTCAAACTTGGGTGCTACTGTGTTACTTAAGGGTATAGTTAGTAAAGGGGATATGCGAAAGTGAATATGCTCTGTAAAATAATAAACAGAAAATATTTTTCATTTATCGATAGTTTTGTATGTTAAGGTGATCAGTTTAGTCCATCTTCAGACTGAATTATTTTTTCCAGTTCAGTTCTAGAACCGGAACAAGGAACCACCGCTTAATTCCCTTAAGGCGGGTCCAAAATGCCTTTCAAATGTATTGACGCTTGAATTGTGCTTTAGTTTCTAGTACATATAACTATAGTAAAAGTATGTTCCCTTGCAAATTCTCTAGAATTTCTCGCTATGAACCCCAGCATTTTCAGTGTACCTCTATGATTTATGAAGGAGAGTTTTGTGTCAAACGTTGCACCCAGGTCTTTAAAATAGTCACATTTTCTTAATAATACGTTCCAGATGGTAATTCAAAGTTATAGAATCAGTGGTGTTTGAAAATGTCATTGCGAAATATTTCTCTGTTATTAGAAGCACACCAAGAACCAATCTCCAAATCATTCTGCAGAGACACACAGTCGGCCACACTATCAATTATTCTAAACAATTTCACATTATCAGCAAAGAGTAAAATTTAGCTATCAATGTTAGTTACTATATCATTGAATCATGAATATCAATGGCGCTAAATTGCTACTCTGAGGAACGCCGCTACTGGTCACAAACCTATATCTAATATTTTAGGAACAAAATTTGTGTTGATATATCGTTTTCATTTTTGGTAATGACATAACAATCACATCGAACTTTTGAAATCAAATCGTTTATTGTCATTAGCATACATGTTATTACGCACAAACATTACTAAAACTACGTTTATAATTGACATAAGCTATGCATAATTATATATTCGAATCGTAGTAAATTACATTTATATAAAAGCAAAAGCTAATTCACACTGATATTAATATTAATATAAGAATCTTACCATTTTTTGGAAGCTTTTTACATTTGGTAAATTTTTGGTGTCCGTCGAACCCCATCACTAAAGAGGCTTTTTTGCAGTTTTAACAAACTGAATATCAAGTAATCTTGTAAATAGGATGAAAATAATTTATTTTTTATTTTATATATCAACAAAACATTAGAAAACTCAATAGTCTGAGACACCGACACCCAAGCATTACACGAATGGGAGTGTAACGTGTACAACCCAGAATAGCCCGCATGGCTTTATTTTGTAGCACTTGTATTCTATGTACATCACTGTTTCTACAAGAAATCAAAAACAATCGCATTAAAAACAAGACGTCTGTTCCAGTGGCTAAGCTCAGGCGCAAGAAACCTATCTTTTTTCCAATTTTCTTACAAATAAAATCTACATGTTGTGAGAAATTTAATTGAGAATCTAAGAACTACTCCCAGATACTTCATTTGCGAAACATTTCCTATTAACCTACTATCAATATAAATCTTACAATTATCCAAAAATACATTTACTCCCAAATACTATATATGCTGTTTTATTTAAATTTAATTTGCGTTTATTTACACACAACCCGTCACTAAGTAACCTTAATTCATATATTGTTCATATTATCTACCACCTCTAAATAATTTTTCCCAGAAATTGATAGCAAAGTGTCTTGACTAGCTTTGTAAAATCACGTAGTACTTGCTTCTATAAATTAATTGTAAGTTATATATTAATAGTTCCAAAGCCTATCAAGTCATTTTTTTTTATAGATCTTTATGCAGAATGTGACCGGACTGTCTCGTGAACAAATTCGTTTTCAAACCTTTAAGATCGGTAAAAAATACGAGGTTAGCGCCAAAATTTCCCCGCGTGACATGGATGCAGCTCCAGTATCACGATAAGACTTTGTCTTCTTTTAAATATATATCTTAGTAGGCTCCGAAAAAAAAAATGAAGTCTTGCGTCAAATAGTTTTTTATTGATAGAATTTTAAATAAGACATATCCGAAAAAATAAAGTTTTCGACAAAAGAGGGGTTAGCACCTAGAATTATTAAAGAAAGGCTGGATGGTGTGTACGGCCAAAATTCACCTTCGTGTTCTGTAGTGAAAGAATGGGCAAAACGTTTTCGAATGGGGCAGGAGTCCCTTGAAGATGATTCGAGAACTGGTCGACTAGTGGGGGTCGTTTAAAGGTCAAGGAAATCTCAGCAATTACTAAGATTTCTGATACAAGTGTTCGTCGAATCCTGCATGATTATTTAGATATGCATAAGGTTAGTACAAGATGGGTTCCTAAAAATCTTTCGGCTATTCAAAAACAACGCCGTGTCGAGTGTGCACGGTCTTTTTTGGAACTCTGTGGGTCGGAACCGAAGCCTGTGATAGAAACTACTGTAACGGGAGATGAAACTATGGTTCTCTATTATGACCCTCTATCGAAAAAAGAATCAATGGAGTGGCGTCGTAAGAGTGAAGCACCTCTAAGAAAATACAGAGTCGGTCAGTCAATAAAAAAGTTGATAGCCACGATCTTTTGGGATTGTGAAGGAATTCTTTTGATAGATTTTAAATAAACTAATACCACTGTCGATGGTAAATATTATGCAACATTATTACATAAATTGCGAGAGTGCATACGTGTAAAACGTGGAGGAAAACTGACCAGAGGCGTGCGTCTTTTGCACGATAATGCACCTGCTGTGTTGATGTTACGGGGGATTATATTGAAAAATAATAAAAAAGTGTTACTCTACTTTGTTTTTTTCATATTCAGGACGGGAAATTTTGGCGCTGCCCTCGTATATATAGAAAGAACTCGATATCCAAGCGAGAACAAGCACTTAGTTACTCGTGTCCGTAGGTAGGGCTTCGAGGGCTTACTGCATCGGTCTGCAGCACGCCGATGTGGAGATGACCATGGCGTCGGCCTTCTGCGTGATGGCCAAGGACCGCGTCTCCCAACGCATTACGGAGATATTTCGCGGACGGGGTTCCATCGACGAAAACTACAACGTCATAGGCAAGACGTTCTTTACGTACAAGGGCTACTTTGCCGCCCACCCGCTGACCAGGAACTTTTAGTTGATGCGTTTAGGCACGTAAATGTAAATAAAAAGCGTTCACTTCTGCCGAAAGGTCGATGTTAATGTAGCGATGCGGTAGTTCGAATGACTCTCACGAATACAAGACCAGAGGAACGTTTCTTATTGTCTTTTGTGGACTCAGTGGTATCAAGGTTATAATTGTTATAATCTACCGGTATACAAGTTTTGTAAATAAAAAGCATTCATCTCTATACCATGAGATAGTTCAAATGACCTGCACAATTTGTTTTTGCTAATTTTCTCAAGATGACAAGTGTGAAAGATATTAAATTAAGCTCATCGGGTAACAATTTTTATTGGTCACTTTCGATCAGTGTTGCTTCAGTTTGACCAACCGCTCGGTCCTCTCCCACAATTTCCGGGGCAGTTCTGGGTCCCCCGACAGTACGGAGTGGTACCGCTGCACGTACCTGCAGTCCTCGAAGTGCTCGCCAGTTTAGGCCTCTATTCCTTTCTCCAACGCGCAGTATATCGTGGTCTGGGCCCCTTCCAACGGGCTTTACGAACCTAGAGTGGCGGTTTTCCATGACAAAATCTACTTGGACTCACTTTGAGAAACAATGGCAGCAAAACGTGGAACGTCACGTAGGCGTACCCGGGCAGGAACACGAATATGTTAGTACGGATAACGCCCGGATGTAACGAGTACGTCGTCGCGGTTGAGTCCATGAGTCGGTTGGCCAGCTCGATCGTGAACAGGATGTTGCAGAGTTTGATCCGCGCGTATGTCCTTAATCCTTTCAGTTCGACGTTTAAGGAATCCAGGTTGACGGGTTCAGAGTGTTTCGCCGCAATCGTTGACGATACGCGAATTGGGGATCTTCTTCACGGGGTCGAGCAATAGTACCGTGAAAAGAGACGGTCCGAAGTAATTGGTCTGCATTAACCTCTGGAGGCCGTCGACGGTGGTGCCCTTTAGGATGCACGTGCCTGCGTTGTTGACCAGCACGTCGAGTCTCTCGTTCTTCTGGTTGATTTCATCAGCCGCGCGCCTTACCGACTCCAGCGACTCGAAGTCTACGATTTGATACGAAACTTCAGAGTTGTTGGTTTCGCGGACGATTCTGTCTCGCTTCCTTGACGTTGTCTTCGTTGCGACAAGCGAGGATGAGCCGCGCCCCTCGTTTCGCGAAGTCGAGTGCTGCCTCGTAACCTATGCCTGCGATGAAATCGCTTCTTTCAATCCGCCACAGTTTTATTACCGCTTTTTTTTTTCGTTATAAGGAGTTATAGGCACTTAAAAAGTAACATTACGCATATAATAATAATAAATAGTAAAAAAATAAGTTCCACAGGCTATTGTAACGCTTTTTACAAAACTTCTGGATTCCTCCTGCGTCGGTTTTTGCTTAGTCGAAATTGCTGACATTTCAGAGCTTGACTGAAACTCTGAAAAAGCCAACAGGATGATTGGCGTAACGTCAGCAATTTCGACTAAGCAAAAACCGACGCAGGAGGAATCCAGAAGTTTTGTAAAAAGCAATAAATAGTCTTTATTAGCATTACATGGGCGAAGTCTGGCATTAAGGCCACTCACACTTTTACAAGTATCTATGAAATTACAAAATAAAATGAATGATGTACATGTAATCTAACGGATTATTTTTCATTAAGTTTAGTAACTTTTAAATGTAAGCTAAAATTTTTACATGAACCAAGTAACTTTGATTTGATGCTCGCCGTATTCACTAAGTCAAATTAGAACTGATTGAAACAATGGTGTGCTTTTATACATTCCGATTAGATTATTAGGGTAAGGAATTCTGAGGAATATATCGAAACCCGAACTTGTAATTATACCAAAAAACAGAACTAAAATGACAGCTGGATAGTAAGATTTTAAAGTGCCTGGCGCTCAATCAGTCAATAGGTAAGTTTGACGGCTACATTTTATAGCCCTAATTTTATTAATTTATTAAGCTTTTATTAATATAACATAATTTCTGCTGTAGAATAATGTACTAAGCACATTGATAAAGTATTGAAGAAATATGTTACGAAATATTGCTTAACATAAAAAAATGTTATTCTTCTGTGAAATTATCGTCAGAAATGCAAAAGAAACGTTATCTGGGGGAAAAGTTCAACTTCACTTGGAATATAATTTGGCAGTTTAATTCACAATACTCTGAAGAGGATTTCTAAAGATAGGCCGACCTTATTTGAACACGCTAATTTAATGATTTAGCAATTTTTATTAATTTGTTTAACAGCAAATTAGCAAAAAGGGTATTATTATGAAGGATTTGCTCAAAGTGCGCCCCCGTCCTACAAAAAATCAAATATATTTTTACCTGAATTTGCTCCCGTTACTCCTGCACTAACCGGTGGTTAATTTGAAATAAATTTTAAACACGATGAGGGCTAAAATTTGCCAAAATAATAGTCGCCAACCAACCCATTGTATGCTTTCGCCGCTAATAGATAATTCGGATAAGTGTTTGACGCATTGAAAACATCGATAATGATTTTTGCGACTTATTGAGATTAGATTCAGGTGATGGGTAAAAGGCGCACAATCTGGCAAAGTTGCGTGGCTACACCTCTGGCGCACTCTTTCGTCAACGAGATCGACCGACACAAATAATCTCTGTGGTCTGTGATTTAACGGTATATCGCGCGTGGCTTGGAAAATTCACGTAACTTTAAATGTCATAATTGCGAGGAAGTTTAGTTTCTTTCCGTCTTTTCGTTATTAATATATTTCGGCTTTTGCGACCAAGGACATATAGGCCTTGTCACAAGTTTTTCCGTTGTGCAGTGTTTAGTATCAGTCATCAACCGCGTATGCGTCGGGTAAGCAATCCTTCCTAGTATACATGTTTTGGAGTTTATGTTTTACTTGTTTTTTTCGGAATAACTGCGCTTATGCGCGTGCTTAAAATAAAACAAAAACGACTCGTATAAAAGTGGAAAATAAATAAAGGTTTCTAAAATTCGCGGAAACTTTTGGTAGTGGCGTCCTCTATGCGGCCGCTTCGCGCAACATTTTGCGCCAATCTGAATCGCGGCTTTGATTTTGGCATCCATTTTAGTTTTCGTGAAAGTTTAAATTCCATTTTGGTTTTCGTGAAAGTTTACGTTCGTGTTGTACTGCTTGCAGAAAAGGATCCGAATCTTACACTGTGGTAAGTCATTATTATCTCGTAAATAAAATAACCGCGATCTGTTAAGTTTTATTCAATAAATTTTCTAAAGTATTGACTGACATAGATAACACTTCTAGTTTACATTGTTTAACATGCAACATAGTTTTATTGATATTGGCGTGCGGAGGAGATGGCCGCAATGCCGCGATGCGATTCGTTTATCCAGTCAATAGAAGAATAAAAATATTAAAAAGTAAAAAACAAACTAGCGCGGGGGCGTAAAAAGCGGAAGGGTATTTACAAGAGGGGAAACTCGCGGGAGGACTAGCAGTGTACAGTAGTAGTGTCGTTTTAAATAAATAGTTCCTTTTTACAATCTTTGTACACGGATCCTTCATATTTACACCTGACCTAGAAATTACAACAGAGATATAGATTATAGATTTAACTTTTTTTGCCTCTTAAAATCTCAGTCGCTATCACGATTATTCTTTATAACATTTATTTGATTTACTTTATGATTAACATTGCTTTAGTTCAAAAATCGACGCGCCGATCTGGGACACGGTCGGGTTGGAATGTGGCCCTTCTGTTATTTTTGTGGCAATGGTCCCAAACCCAGCGACGCCAACCCAATATTAAACAAATTAATATAATCCCTAAAGAAAGTCGTCTTATTTATTGGCAGTATTGGACGTTGCATTGCTATTGGCACAAATGTTGCTCCTCTCGCACAGCTGGGCCATCGGCGGCCTCGCTTCCCTGTCTTTCACCGTCGACGACAGTGAGCTGCTGCTCACGCCGCTGTCGCTCGACTTCTCGCTCAGGCAACTTTTGCCCAGGATGCCGAGGGAGCCCTGCTCGGACATCTCGGACCCGACGACATACTTGACCGAATGAAACTTTTGGTCTGCCTCGCAAAACTCTTCTTTCTTCTTCGTAGCCAAGATGCCCCTCTTGCACGGGTCCACGAGGCTCGTCTGTCCGTGTACCCCCACGTACGAGTCTTTCGTCTTTTTTTCCGCCTGCTGGGTGTTCCCCTCGTAGCTCACGGGCTCTTCCTTCTTCTGCGCCTGTCGCACTCGCGCCAAGATTTCGTTGTTGCACTGTTCCACCACCGAGTCCAGGTTGTTACGGTTGTCCGGAACGTCGACGGTTGGGGCCGCTTCCGACTCGAGGTATTGCCGCCGGCTGAAAGGCGGCATCGCGTGGAGACGCGCGGCTGTCAAGGTCGCGCCCCCGCGGTGGTGGTCGTCGCCTTCGCTGCTGGACCCCGCCACGTCCCCTTCGCTGCCCGCTGCAAAAGGACAACGTTGAGGTTAGGGCTTAGGCCAGGGTTAAACGTGTGGACGACGTTTTGATTAGGTAACGCCGGTTCGAGCCACCGACGATATATCCAGCTAGACCCGCTTTATTGGCGACATAATGTGTCGACTGTAATCAGTAAAATTAGGAATAAAGTGGTATCTGAGTTCAAGAACTCCATGAAAAAGAGGGAGAAGGTGTTATTGAGTTATTTTTCTGGTGTTTTTTGGTCGAGCTGCAGTATATAGTGCGTATTTTCTTCATAGAATGTGGGCTATGAGGAAAATACACACTACATACTGCAGCTTTACAAAACTTCTAATTCTTCCTGCGTCGGTTGTTGCTGATATATATTGCGGACCTAAATGAGGGACATAAACATCGTCTTGGATGACTGATTCTCATATTGGGAACAAGTAAAGACGTGAGTCACTGTTAAGATTGTTAGGTTGCTTATAGATTTCTATGGACTCTCGGCTCCTATCATCTCAAGCAGGTAATGAAATTCGCATTGCCCTAAAATCTTTAAAATCTAATCCCGGTATTGTAATCCTAAAAGCAGATAAAGGTGGTCATCAACACAAATGAATATTAGGAAAAGATTCAAGATATTCTTTCAGATAGATCCTACGTCATCCTCATGATTTAAAATTTTTCGTCTCTACGGACTCTCTAAGATTTACAAACCAGGATTACCCTCTCGACCTATTGTCAGCACCATTAGTTCTGCAACATATTCCTTAGCTAAATACCTAGCTTTTTTATTAAAACCCTTTACAGGGAAAACTGATAGTTTCGTACTTAATTCATTTCACTTACTTTAACAAATAACAAGATACACAAGATATTCTGGTTAGTTTCGACGTAGAATCCCTCTTTACTGAAGTATAATTTCAGATATATTAAAATTCCAGAATCTGGAACCAAACCTTCTCACCTTAATTGAAAAATATTTGTCTGGAACCTATTTTTTTTATAACGATCAAATTGAACAAATATCGCGAATATATTTATGGAAGCCTTTGAAAAGAAAGCTCTCGACACCTTCCATCTAAAACCAAAACTATGGAAACGCTACGTCGATGATACTTTTGTTCGCCTCATGGTGAAGAATCCCTAGTAAACTCTATACACCCTAACATACGTTTTTCCATTGAATTAGAAACTAATAATAACCTCTCATTCTTATCAATAGAAAATCAGACTTAACATTGGGTCATTGTGTTAAAAGAAAACCTATGCACACGGACCAACACCTTAATGCATGGTTACATCGCCATCCCGCCCAAAAATCATCGGTTATCAACTTTCTTGTTTACAAAGCCGCAAAACTATCTCGGCCCGAGTCACGGAACCCAGAATTGAAACACCTCACCTCTGCTGTTCTCTCTAAATTTCCACATTACAGATATTAAGCGTTACATCACAAAACACACTTCACCACAACCTTCCAATGGCACACCTACCACCAACCAACCCTACACTTGCCACTGTTGTTCTTTCTTACATTCTAAACGTCACTGACCACATTTCAAAAGTTCTAAAGAAATATAACGTCAAAACCAGATTTACCACTTGTCCAATAATCTGTCAACATCTTCGATCGGTCAAAGACAAAATTCCATTTGACAAGCCAGGAGTTTACATTATTCAATAAACTTATTAACAGTTGCCGAACACAATTATGAAATCGGACATAAAATTTTAGTCGATAAAACTAAAATTCTTGAATGTAATCAATTCTTCTACCAACGAAAAATCCGAGAGTCTATAATAAACAACCTAACAATCTTGACAGCGACTCAGATTTCTACCTGTCACCAATATGAGAATCAGTCATCCGAGACGATGTTTGTGCCCCTAATTTAGCTCCGCCCCCTTCTAACAATATATAAGCAGGTACAGAGTAAAATGCGAGTCAGTTTCAGCTAAATTCTGAAGAAGCCAAAAGGATGATTGGCAAAACGTTAGCACTTTCGACTCAACAGCAACCGACGCAAAAAGAATCCAGAAATTTTGTAACTAGTATTACAGTAGCCTGTGGAAGTCTCTTTGCTAAATTAAAAAAGTATGTCCTACTCTGCCCCCACATGGCGAGCTAAATAACTTTTAAAGAGAAGGTTAAATTTATCAGTAAAACTTTTTTATTAAAATTTTGCTAACAGTGTTGTGCTGAATGTGATGTGGCTTTGCGTTAGGTCTATCCTTTGGATATAACGTCATTGGTCGAATTCCGGACTGGGCGCAACTTGTTCGCGTTGCCAAATCGAATGTTCTTACTCAAATCTGTTAAATACTGATTTTGTGTTCAATAAAGTAATATGGTTACATACGTGCGCAATTTCTCGATAGGGAGTGTGAGTCTTCAGTAATCTGAAGGAAGAAGAGCCATTTTAGATTCGGAACAATAATTAAGCATACACAGTTTACAGTATTTCCGTCATTTTTTTTTGCCAAACCGCGTTTCGGCCCGCGTCAATCGTTATACTCACAGTCTAACTCGTGGAGCAGCTGCACCGCGGTGAGGATCTTAGCCCGGTGATCGGAGTTGACTATCCCCAGGTAGTCGAGGTCGGACGGTTCGATTTCCTTGAACAGCTCCAGGTCTTCGTAGCCGTTGAGCACGAACACGGATATGTACTCGGGCAGGTTGATTTTCTGCAGCAGGTCCTCCACCGACACCGGTTTGCCCTTGATGTTCCGGTGCCACTTTTTGATCTCCCGCTTGGCCTTGACTGCCCGTTCCGACATCAGTTCGACGTTGATGAACTTGAACGTGCCCTTTCTACCGTGGCACGCGCCCCGCCACTGGCCGCTCGCGTTCATCGAAACTATATCTATAATATCACCAGCCTTAAATTTTAACACGTCCTTATCGTAAGGGCTCGGAGTCTGATCAACGAGGGCTCGGGCCCTGCCCACTATTTGGTCGACGGGACTCGCGTCCACCTCTTCGGTCGATATCGAACTGTGGTTGCTTCCGGCCCGCACCAGAGCCTGCGTACCTGAAAACGAGTAGTTTATCTACGAGTCCTTTAGCGATGGCGGGTTACTAGTACTCACTGGACCCCGAACCACTGGGTATGCTCTCCACGGAGCTCGCGGAACACGTGTAAGTCTGCTCGTTGTTGACCCGCTGTTCCTCGCCTTTAAGTCTCGATATCTTCCTTTGGACGTCCTCCCTTAACCCTCTCACCTTGCCCACCAGACTGGACACCCCGGACGAACGGCCGTCGCTTGACTGCAACAACCCTCGGATATAAGAAACGACTGTACTTTATTTATTTATCAAAATTGATTCAAAGTAATCCCCTTCCCCCAACGATTTTAGCACTTTCTGGTATGGCCTTGAGTGAGTTTTTCCTGCGATATTTCCTTTATCTCGTCAATCGTTCCAAACTTCCTTCCCTTCATTGGTCTCTTGAGTTTTGGGAACGGGAAAAAGTCGTTGGTTGGTGGTTTTTGTTTATGGCCAAAAAGTTAGACACAAGCAACGCTGAGTGAGCAGGTACATTATCCATGAATTGTTTTCCCTCAATTCCGGACGTTTTCTTCCTAACGCTTCCCGCAAATGGCGCATAACTTCAACGTAGAGTGCTTACGTTGCGCGTTGTACTACGCCAAGATAATCAAAGAAAACAGTAAACACAACTTTGACTTTTGATGGAACTTAACGGGCTTTATTTGGTCTCGGCGATTCTGGGTTCTTCGACGTCATAACCACATACCTATGATTCGCCACCAATTATTATCTTTTCGAGAATATCGGGATCACCATTGAAGTCGTTTGACAGCTATCGGGCGTTCAAAACTAAGCTGTTTCGTAACAAATTCTGCTGCTACATGTTTCATGCCTTAAACTTCGGAAAAAGTTGCATGGTATGAGCGAATAGACATGCCGATGTCTCCAGCCACTTCTCTAATTTTCTAATTTCTAATTCTTCAACGCGTTCACCAGGAGATTCGTCATCGGCGTCTTTTCGGACATCTTGGAACTGCTTGTGAAAGACCGTTTATACTGGGTGTATGCACAATAACATTACATCGATTTTGTGAAAGTCCCATTGTGGTCCGCAGGAGCACGATAGAAAAACAATGCAACCGCAAAGCGGCTTCTTTTTGAAATACAAAACTTCTTCGCGCTACGCGTTGTAGACTAGTAAACGCAGTTAAACAATCATACGTTTACAGGTAATGGCGGATGCTAGTTTTGAAATCGCATTATTCCATAATGAAGAGACGATAACTTAAATTATTGCTTTTAATATCTTCACTTATAGATTTTATAAACAGGGTACTAAATTTTTAATTTTGCAATTGTCTATTTTTATCGCCTCCACCACTGCCTAAAACCCATCAATATCTTTATAGAGTGTGAATATTTTGTTTACGTCGGCTGCGGGTTTCTAGGCATTTGTTTTATCAGTCGGCCGTAGAGTCTCCTTCGAATTTAGTAATCTTTGGTTAGGAATTAGAGAACCCACGTACCACGTGAACAGTCGCGACTTGTTGGCTGCAGTTGCTGTAGTCGTCCTGGTCCTCGTAATCGGAACTCTGGCTCGGCGAGAGGCCGTCCTCGCTACGCGGATAGTTGTTGTTCGTCCGCCGAAAGTGTCTCATTTTGCTGTCGAGGTGGGTGTAGTACTGCGGCGATATCATTTGGGTCATCTCGTGGATCTCCGATCGGCTGGTATCCATCGAGAGGGTAGAGAGTCGGGAGCTTACGCTCTGGACATCCGAGCCCGCGTAGTCCCCGCTTTCGCGATCGCGCGACGACCTAAACATTTCAAAATTTTGTTTTGCAAAGGTCGCCGAGGTCGGACGAAAAGTAGATGTTACGAGAAAAAAGTTTTGGTTGGTTAAAAACTTAGCATGGAAAAATTTAGAAGATTATAAGTTGTCATGTAATGTGAAAAGTTATGAAAGGGCATAGAGAATAGTACTACGTGTGTACTTATTTAGTAAAATGTAGGTATTAGCAATCCGTGAAGAGTACTTTTATAGTGAATATAGCGTAGAGTCTATACGTATTAATTAGTTCAATGACAATTTGCGGGCTATGAGACAACAACTTTCGCTACTTTTAGATTTGTTTAGGCAATATAGCAGTAATATTTTTCCTTTAAACATCAATACAAAGAATATAAAAAGCTTACATAAGCAAGGCTAAGATCGAAGAAAATGACAATTTGATAACTAACAACACCAAATACGTACGTACTGATGAATTCAAGTGTACTGCGTCCAATATAGATCCCATTTCATATTTCGATAAAATTAAACTATCATCTCATTTTATGCTTGCTGAACATAGTTTTAATGAAGTTAGGGAAATCATAGTCTCAAAAATAAAAATTGTCGAGACATATTTGGCATAATTAAATTCTGTCAAGAATGAAATATTACTGCGTCTCACAAAACTTATAAATTTAAGTAATCAAAAGAGATATTTTAAAAAGAGGTAATACGAGCATTTATAAAGGTAACCCTAATGTTGAAAATTATCCACCTATATATCTACTTCCAATTGTTTCAAAGATTGTAGAGAAGTGTATAGCTAAACAATTAGTTCGATATTTTGACCTTAATAAATAAATAACACTGTTTCAGGCAATCTTAATTTAGTTTCAGACGTAACAGATGCATTCCAGAATCGGCAATATAACACTGTATTATTTTGTGATATCACTAAAGGCTGTGTCGATCATGGAATTTTTATGCGCAAGTTAAAGGCTTATAATTTTTCAAATAGCAGTCTTAGTTTGATGCAATTTTACCTTAACAATAGATACCAGGTGATTAAGTACTCTGGGGTGACATCAGCGAAGAGTGAGGTGAACATTGGAGTGCCCCAAGGCTCAATTTTGGGCCTCATATTATTTTTAATATATAAATGACCTTCCCATTGTTGACATCTGTTTATACACCATGTGAAATTCAGAGTACAGTTCATTTTAATAAAATGAATACCAGATTACTTGGCATCTATATTGACCCAAAACTTGTGGGACTTCCATATAGATTTTGTTGCTAAGAAACTGACCAAAAATTTATATTTCCTTCGATGCTTGACCGAAAATGTCTCTCCAGGTGTGTTAAGAACTGCGTATTTTGCAGTTTTTCATTCACACCTCCTATATGCGATCTTAACATGGGACCATGCTGCTGACAGGCACCGTTTGTTCAGATTACAACGAAAAGCAATTCGAATTATTAGTGGACTTGGTTATCGGGAGGACTGTAAAAATGCCTTTCGAGACTTGGAAATTCTTACATTGCCCTCGTTGTTTATCTTAAAAAATCTATTACTTATAAAGAAAAATCCGCATCTATTATTCGTATTCGTATATACATAGCCTTTACAAACAGGTCCGTTGAGCAGCAGCATTTTTTGAGGTTAGGGAACAGAGCTCGCTCGCACGACGTTAAGTCGTGAATTTTGATGATGATGATGCAACGATTGGCGATTGTGGGTGCATGGTGAAACACGTTTTTTTTCGCCAAATGGCATATTTTGTTTATTTCTTTGCTCAGTCGATCCAATCAAGGTACCTCTTCATTGATGGTTTAACCTTTTTCAAAATAATCGATAAAAATAATTGCCCGTGCTTTCCAAAGAAACACTCGCTGAAACCTGGCAAAATGGCCTTCCCTTTGAAGCTAGTTCATCGGTGGCTGTCCACTGTTTGCGTGTTTCTTATTTTCAGGATTGTGGTGTGCATCCATAGCTACAAATCGATGTAAAAATTCGTTAGGATTTGGTTTCTAGAGTGCCAAATTATCAGTTTTCTTTTGATACGACGTTAGTAAGGCCTGCAAGTATCTTGCGCAGAGATTTCTCACTTGTAAGATATTATTATAAATAAAGAACTATTTTGTGGACGTTTTCTACTATTCCGGTGGAAGCGTGACAATAGCGAATGCTCGTTTGACTAATTAAATTAATAACATAACACTGGGGTGATTTAAACTCAAAAATGTCAAATTGATGTATATCCTCCATATGATGACCCATTCGTAGAGTGCGTTGTAGAACCGTTTGCTATAACGAATTCTGAACGTCTAATTTAAGAGGAACTTGCTCAATAAGGGGCAATACTTAATACGATTGATGTTCAACTTTCTACTAGTGTCCGATGGATAAGTAATAGACTTAACGTAGACCGGATGAGAGTATAAAGAACTTTACACAATTTCAGTATCAATAACACCAGGAATTCATATCGTTGGGCACTTGAATATCCGCAACCAACTCGGAAATCCCATTTTCAACATATATTTTCGGTGAATATTTATTGCGCCAATATTGATGACCGCCTCATTGGTCCGTTAATTACGTTTCATAAAAAATGATCTTTCAATATTACAGGATTATATTCTTAACTAATAACTAATGCGGATTCGACAAGTAACAGAATTTCCTAATCAAAATTACACAAACCGGTGTATTGGAAAAAGTTCAGCAGCAGTTCCTTGGCTAGCAAGTTCACCTGACCTTAATCCCCTAGATTACTTTTTATGCGAAAGACTGAAAACTTTAGTTTATGCAGAGAGTATTAAAAACAAAGATCAACTGGTAGCCGGTGCTGATCCTGAGACTGTTAGCAGAGCTGCTACTTAAGAGCTAAACTACGTATACAACAACTGGGTGGACATCTTGAACAACTAATTCAATAAAATAAAATATAATTAAATAAAAAATAAGGGGTCTCTATAAAATGGCATTTAAAATTTCACATGCTTGTAGCTCAGTTAGAATAGGCACCCTGTATAACAACAATACAACTATAGAATGTCTATAAACTTTTTTCTCGTAGCAATAAAGAACTTTCAGCGTATCTTATTTAAAGTATTTAAAATTATTATCTTGGGTCCGTTGTGCCAACCTTAAAGGTATGATTGTTGGGGGGTAACCGGCCTCCCTGGGCAGTATCAGTCCCCGCCTAGGCGTTTGGGAGGAGACGACCTCGCGGGGGAGGGAAATGTCTCCTGCGCTGCGCAGTGAAATAACCCCCTCGCCGCTCTTCTGATCCGGCCTCACGTTTAGGGTGAAACACACCCTCCCGTTCTGAAATTTAAGCGTTATTAAATAAACTCGCGCACCACTGTAAATATTTGACTTTAGTGTATTGTTTTCCTAGAAACTATTCATCTGACCCAAAAAATAGACATGTTATTTGGAAGACAATTTAATATGCTGTCGTATAAGTTGAAATTTGTCAAGTGTTGATCTTTTACATACGTTGCCACGGTTAAAGAAATGAAACATGCGGTAGTTATAATGATAGTAACAAACTTGCTATAGACTTAAATTAATTGCCTTTGTAACAAGAATTTTCACATTATTGGTTTGCATCCATTTGGATAACGTATCGCTTTAACAGAAAGTGGACTTCGCCAGCGAGCTGTTGTTCGACAACTGGATATGACACGCGTAGCTGTTCGAAGAATTTGCAGCGGTATGAGGGGACTAGGGTCGTCACCTTAATGCGGTTCAAGTGCAACAACAGCACCATGAACTTCGAATAGTGGCTATTAGTGAGTGGACAGTGAAAAGAAGACTGAAGGACACTGCGATTGGTCCAAAACTTATTTCTAGCACGTCTACATTTTGCACGGGATCATCTGAATTGGACATTGGACCAATTAGGGGTCTGTTCTGTTCTCAGATAAGACCCGAATATGCCTTTTTCGTAGTGAAAGACAACAAAAACGATACCGAAGATCAGCGGAGCGATTTGCAGAATGCTGCAATGAATGAGCCCTTATGGGGTTGGTTCCTGCACGATATGGGGTGCAATTTATACGGACTCCCGAACTGACTCTGTTTTTCTGCTACGTTGGAGAAGAATTCATTTTTATGCATAACCATGCTAGGCCGCACATCGCAAAATCGTGCAAGATTATAGTACAGAAGTTATGGAGTGGCCAGCATGCAGTCTCGACCTCAATCCGATCGAACATTTATGGGATAAGCTTAATCGGAGAATTCGAGCTGGACCTTGTACCCCAACCTCGATCCCAGAGCTTACTGTTGCAGTTGAGGAAGAGTGCCTTAACATTCCACAAGAAACAATAGCGAACTTGATTAGATCCATGCCTAATCGAGTAAGATATGTTATTAGGACATGCCGATTATTGAAAAATAAGTGTTGAGTTACTAATTGTCAACTACCTTATTTGTTTTTAGTAATAAAAACAAGTTAATTTGAGTCGTGCAGTTATTTTACTATGCTAAACCTAAAAAGCGGAAATAATGTTTTATCAATTTAAACTCGTATTAAAGCATATTAAATTGTCTTTCAAACGGCATATTTTTTGATTTGATCAGTAGTTTCGAAAAAATAAATAAAATGAAAAGTTCACAATGGGCCGATTTCTATGCACGCAAGTTTACAGGGTGTCCCGAAATTAGACGTCAATATTTTAACCGCGTAATCTGTGGCCCAAAATAAGGATAAAAGTTCATATAAACTGGGGTCCAAAACGTCTTAGTTTTTAACCTAGAGATTTTTGTAAATATTTTCGAAACACGTAAATATTTTTAAATAAAATTTGGTAAAAAACTATTTAATGAACTAAAACTAAGTATTGTCTTCGTTTATCGTTCTGATCGGTCCTGCTATTATCGTCTCGTTTTAACTGTGTACGTTAGACAGAGAGAGATGTTTACAATTAATCATTAATCATTATAAAGAGAAAGACTGAAATTTTAAGGAAAATCATCCAAGGATAAAGCATTCAAGAGGATTAAATTTTTAGATCATATAAGTAAGAAAAAGCAGGTCCTAACCTTCAATTTTGTTTTGTTTGTACTGATGAGACATTGATATTTGAAAATGGTACAATTGGTCTTGGCAAGATTAGAGAAACTTAAATTATAAATGGCACTTTAATTACTGACTAGTCTACTAGACTTTAATTGTAGCTTACAATATGTAGTATTTAAATTTTCTGATTTATTGCATAACATTCACTGACATGACCGTCAAAAAGTCAAAATTCAAACCGTGCTGTAAAATCTCCGAAAACATCCGATTGCTCTCAAACCCGTGCGGTAAAATCCCGGAAAGTGGATCGGATTCGTAGGAAACGATAGTGACGTGGTAAAGTAAACGCTTCCCGCACGCTAGATCGGTGGGTAATTAGGTATTTTACAGACGGGAGGAGAAAAACAAATGAAACGCGTCATTAACTTCCAAGGATTACTAATGATTATCTGCACCTCGATTGTAAACATTAAAATTAAAAAAATAATTTGTAATTAAATTCTCAAAAGCATTTTTCTCGAAAACGCTGTGTTCTAACGAGGTGCGACGAGGGTACCTTATTGACGTAGAAAACTTCAGATTTAAAAAAAAAATGGGGCAAATTTTTCCCACTCCTCAACTGTATTATCCCTGAAGACAATCCAATACTAAGTTTTAGTTCGTTAAATAGAGTCTAAAGAGTTAAGTAACCGCACCAGATTTTATTTACAAATATTTACATGTTTCGAAAATATTTACAAAAAAACGCCATCACCTGTATGTTAAACGCTAGGACTTTTTGGACCCTAGTTTATATGACCTTTTATCCTTCGTTTGCTTGAAGGTGATAGACACTGATTCAGTAGATATACTAAAAGGATAGCACAAGATGATGACCTGCTGATGGGTTCTTCTCTCCCTCCAATGACAGCGAACAGTGGTTTGAAATTCATGCCATAAACACTGCAACTATTAAATCTAAGATCTGGCTTCGATATAGACGGCTAGACTCTTTTCTCAATCATCTTAATTCTTTGCGAACATCAATTAAATTTACTATTGAGAAAGAAAAGAACGACTGTCTACCTTTTCTAGGCGTCCTAGTAAGTAGGAATAATGGTTCTATTAACACATCTGTATATAGGAAACCTACCCACAGAGGACGGTATCTAAATTTTGAGTCTGACCATTCTGAAGCAATGAAACTAGGAATAATTAAAACGCTGTGCAAAAGAGAAATCACAATATGTAGCGACCAAGCATATATCGATGCCGAATTGAATAATATTAAAAAGGATTTGCTTCAGAATGGTGACCCCGGAAAATCCATAAACAAAATAATAACAAACTGTAAGCGGGAAACAACACCGGAACCATATGAGGTGGATACTCTTTCTCTCTTGACGATCCCATACGCGAAAAGAATATCAGAAACAATATCAAGTTAAAACTGTATTTAAATCTGGACCAACATTAAGAAGTGTACTCACAAAAACAAAAAATGAAACGTCGACTCAAGAGAAAGAGTGTGAATGCGGAGAGTCATATATTGGCGAAACCAAACGACCTCTAAAAATAAGAGTTGAAGAACATAACAAACATACAATGAAGGGTGAAACGCAAAAATCAGGTATCGCAGAACATGTGAGGACCAAACAACACAACATCCAATGATCGAGAGTGCGGGTTGTTCATAGAGAGCAGCATTGGAGAAAGCGCAAATTTAAAGAAGCAGTTTTCAATAGAAACAATGAAAACATTTTCAGCAATCCAAGCGTGCATTTGGCAACCACTAATAAGGCGCACCAATCCTGGCGTTCTAGTTGAACAACTTTACGATTGACTACACCCGACTCCGTCATGGATGAGCGCCGTCGGTTAGTATATAAACCTTGTAGCCTTAGGAATGAAGTTTAGTTTTAGTTTAGACAACGGGTAGTGATACAACTGTTCGAAACGTTGTGTAAGTTAAAAATAAAGGCAATGAAAGGTGGACATCCTTTTAGTATTTTTACCTTTTATCCTTATGTTGGGTTACAGAATAAGTGGTTAATTTCGTTTAATTTCGGGACACCCTGTATGCGCGGCGACATCCTTTTACCTGTATGGTGGCTTGCGGTCCGCCTCCCATCAGAAAGTCCTCGGGGTCGCTTTCGTACGGCGGCTCGTCGTACCAGTGGCCGAGTCGTGGATCGTGATGATGGTGAAGGTGGTTGTGGTGGTGCTGCTGTTGCTGCGCCATCGGCTGAAGCATTCGCGCGTCCTCGTCGTACATGTACGTGTCGTCTGAAATTCGCGCGGAAACTTTTCCTCGTTTTGATCCCGCCACCACCTCCCACCACCCGCTCGGACGGATTTATTGCGGCGCGATAAATCTGCCAGGGGTGGCGGGACTTAAACCTTTTTATTTGTTAAAACCGCCCCCCGATCGCCGCCGATCCGGAATGCGACCGAATTAGGAATTAAGGCGCGATGGGGGGGACTGGAGTCGAATTAGGGGGCGGTCTTAAGCCCCACATAAATCTCCCGGGGCCGGGAGGCTTACCTGCCGTCGATAGAGGTCCTCGGATGCCTTCTTTGCCTAATTGCAGCAGACCCTGCTTTATGTCCCTCAGGATCTGCGGGCACACGGAGAGGCGGTTGAAAAAAAAAAAGGAGCGGACACTGCGGCGACTGTAAATCGCCTCGTTTGGGAAGGGGCTGGCGGCGGCGTTAATTTGAACCCTTCCCCCAAAAAAACGCAATGACATTATGTCCAAACGAAAAGTGACTAGCTTCTGTTATTTAGCCAGCCGAACCATATACAATATGTCTAGGTAAGAAGGAATCATATAAAAGAAAAAATCATATCAGGGATCATAGATACAAAACTGAGTTTTGAAAATCATATTGAAAACATAGTGGAAAAGGCTTACAAGGGTTAGCAAAGAATGCGGTCCAATCTTGAGTTTACCAGCTTGATATGGAGTCCTCAATATCATAAGCATGTAAATAGAATTGAGATGATTCAATATTTTTAATTACAGAGTAGAGTCTCCAAAACTGTTGGAAAACATCTTTTAATGCTAGGGTGGTAATGACTAGAACGCCTGCTTCTCTTATTTCTTTTGCAAAGAAACAGTTTTGCACATAGATATTTTTGCTTTCTCATTCAATTCATTTAGGAATTATACAATAAGAGTGTTTCTCTCGAACTAAATTAAATTTACTTCCAGATTCTTTCTTTATTTTGTTGGTTTAGAAATTCTCGAACTAAATTAAATTTACTTCTAGATTCTTTCTTTATTTTTTTGGTTTAGAAATTCTTTTGCTCACTCAAAAGGCGTTAGAATTATTATTAATAAGTAGTGAAGAGAAAATCTAGATAAAGGAGGCGCAATCATTTTTAATAATAGATATCAAAATAAACAACTGTTACAAACAATACTTGAAGCAGTTTGAAGAATGATGTCTGTTGCCAATTGACAAAAACACAAAAGATGGAGTAGCACATATTTTTAAACTGAATGCATACCTACCTATTCAAACCAATGAAAGAAAGAGACTGTGAAAAGCGCTTTGATTTTTATTGTCTCACCCAAGCAGAGTTAGAAGATGACTTTTTCTACGAGACGTTTTTTTTTTCTGAATACACAACGACCAACGTTTCTTTAAGGCCAACGTGTCTTGTGGCATTTATAACAGCATATTAATAGAGCCTCATCTCACATTACATTGAATGTAAGGGAATATCTTGAACATATTTTGTATAGAAACGTTATCCACAGTTATTCTGATCTATTTTGGACGCTATAACCCCTGACCTTACCCCTGATTGCTTCCTATAGGGCCACTTAAAGTCAAAAGTTTAACAGAAAGCGACGTTTCAAGTTTTTGTCCATTTAGAGAAAGTAATTTAATGACGTGAATTTGCCGATATCCATGAGTCAAAATTAAACTTCTATTTATTTCTATATACTACAAGAAAAAATTGATATTTAATGACTCAAATTTATATTTTGGAACATGCTGAAATTTTTACGGAGAATAAGCTTTTTTTTTCTAAAATTAGTAATCAAAAAGTTTCCCATATAATTTCCACTTACTCAGGCACAACTTATCAGGAATGTGTCACGTGAATTTGGCAATATACCGAAAATAGGAGTGAAACTTGAACTTCTATTTATTTCTATATACTACAGGAAAAAAATGATATTTAATGACTAAACGTTTGATTTTGGAACATGCTGAAAGTTTTTTCTAAAATTAGTTATTAAAAATATATAATTTTCACTTATTGAGGCACAACTTATCAGGAATGTTTCACGTGAATTTGCAAATATACCGAATACAAGAGTGAAAATTAAACTTCCATTTACTACAGGAAAAAATTGATTATATTTAATGACAAAATTTTAGATTTTAGATCATGCCACAAAGAATAAGCGTTTTTTTTTTCCTAAAATGAGTTATCAAAAAGTTTCCCATATAATTACCACTTACTGAGGCACAACTTACTAGGAATGTATCACGTGAATTTGCCAATATACCGAATACAAGAGTGAAAATTAAACTTAGATTTAGTACAGGAAAAAAATGATATTTAATGACTAAATTTTAGATTTTAGATCATGCTGATCGTTTTACGAAGAGTAAACTTTTTTATCTAAAAGTTTCCTATATGGTTTCTACTTACTGAGACATATTGTAGACGAATGCCCCGTTGTCCCTTTTAAACTGCTAGATGGATTGAACGGATAATTCTAGCTATTGCATCAATTATTTTTCCGGTTTCGTATGATTACAACGTCATTGGTTAATAAGGCCGACGGTTCCGCCATTAAAACTCGCGATATATTACTTCGGGAAGTTGCAGGGCAAACACGACGTCCCACGGGAACCCGAAAAACCGGGAAACCGCCGCCTTTTATTCAAATAAAACGGGAACACCGCGCGGATCATCGTTTATTTACGCCAGCGAACTAGGCAGAACTGATAATTGCGATTGCTTCTGTTGCGATCGTAAATTTAACCCGCCGCCGCCGCCGCCCTTCTTACCGCCCCCGCCGCGGCTTACCTCCTCGTGTTCCTTGGTGAACTTTTCCCGTTTGCGGAGCGCCTCCTGGACCTTGAGCTGCGAAAATGAATTGAAATTGTATCGTGTGACTATTACATCAGATCAAATGAGGCCTAATTAAATTCCAAATGTTTCCATTTGTCAACCACCCTGCATGTTAAGCAGTGAGATATGGGCAGGAAATTTCAGTAATAACCATACGAAGTGAAAACTATGGAGCAAGCGCACAGCAATGAATCTAGAAAGTCTATTGTCTAAGTATGAACCCCCAGAAACCTTGCCAAACCTGAAAACAAATAGAGCAGCAAGCTTTCGACTTGTAAGGCAAATCCAGTACATGATCGTAGTAAAGCAGTTCATGCAGAACCAAAACGAAGCATAGAAAATGTTTCAACATCAACATCAATAACTTCGGTAGTATGGAAAAATAGATAGATATAAGCTCCTCTAATAGTGATATAGTGCAAGATAAGAAAAATAAACGAATTTAGCTTGATTCTGTTGCTTTAGTAATTAAAAGGTATTAATTAAACTAATGTTTTAGAAAATGAAATTTGTAAAAATTTGTACTAGTAATATATTAATTGTTTATAAGGAAATACAATTACTCTTATACCAAGAGTCTATACAGATAATTAGATATTGTTTCAGTTGACTGTAACAAAACCACTTGCTCATAATAAAAAAATGGCAAAACCTCATTGGTTAATCGTTTATCCCAAAACTTATGACAAGGCAAAAAAGAAAAACAAATCAGAATTGATCCAAGTCTTAGAATGGATATCAAGCCTGCACCGCCGTCCGCCAAGGGTCTAGCTGGTTAGAATCCCACTTGTGTGAATAGGTTTTGCCACACTCAGAGAATTGTAATTGGCTGTGGAAACACTGTCCATTTTGAGTTAGGTTTTGGCGAAAGAGTGTTTTTTGAGATAAATTAAAAAAATTGTGCCGGTCAAAAATGGAACTTAATCGGGAGTACATAATAAATTAACAATTTTACACTTACAAGTACTAATTTATATAGAAAGAAAATGTCGAAAAATAATAGTTAGTATCTGGTGAGGACCATAACTCACATTGCACATTTTTGTTTATTTTGATGCTTGTGTTTAAGTAATTTGTGCGTAGTCATAATAATAATAATAATAACAAATTGCCTTTATTGTTGTATATTGTTATATACAAACATACAGTAGTCTAGCAAAAGCTACTCCACTTAACCTCTTAAATGTTTAAATTCAAAACTAAATAGGAAGTTATAATTACATTGATAAATTAATATAGTATAATAGATAAATGTAATACTAATATGGAACAATAGAAAGTTATAGAAATTGTAGTTTAGCTCGTAAGTAGGACTGATTGGATGTTCAATAATTTGGAAAACCATAGACGCCAAAAAGTACTTGAAAGTACTGTCAATTTTTATCCAGTTAAGTTTCTGAAGTTTGTGGGAACTCCTATCAAAATTTACGCAAGCCGAAAATAAATCTGCAACAGCTATTTTGAATTTTTTGCAATCTATATTTATTAATACTATCAATAGAGGACTAAACCATAGTTCATAATCGAAAGGACAAGTGATTGAGTTAAAAGTTTCCGTAAACTGAAATTAAAGACAGTTCTATGCCTGTATAAATGGCGCAAAACCAAATTAGACTTTTTCACCAACAAAGATACACGTTCCAGGAATATAAGTCTACAATCAAATTAAACACCAAGGTTTTTATTGCAATTCACAATTTTTAAACCGTTAATTAATAAATACATTTGGGATACTTGTTCAATGTTAAGTTTAGGAGAAAAGAAAATTACACTGCATTTTTTAGTATTAAATTGAAGATTATGCCTAGAAGAATATAGAAATAAGTTATGCAAATATTAATTGAAGCAATATCAAATAATTTAGGACCGAAGGAGTAAAATAGCTCAAATGCATGCAAATTCAAATATTCGATGGATGTATAACTATCAGAAATATAAATTAAGAATAATATAGCTGCAAGGACGGAATCCTGCGGTATACCTGATGAAAGAGGGAGAAATTCATTGTCAAGGGTAACTCTCTGATATCTGTTAAGTACTTTTTAAAAAATCTAGTCGAAACATCATGCATGCTGTAATAACTCAAACCTTTACGAAATCCAGATTAGAAATAACATAATCATAAATTTAACTAACCAAAACTTTAGATAAGGTTGGAAGAATACTACTGATTGGACGAAGGTCTGAGAACTGGCTGGGCTTGTTATTTTTTGCCAATGGTGTGATCAAAGCAAACCTCCAAATACTAAGAAAATAACCTACTTCCAAACAGCAATCAATAATATGTGTAACGTATGACGCGGTAATATGGAGGATCATCTGAAGCATTCTAGCAGGTACACAATCAACACCAGCAGAATAGCAGAATAGTTGGTAGTTTAAATTCAAATGATATATTATAGTTGACCTTGCTATTTTTATAGAAAGAATTGGTTTCGGGCAATTGTTAATATTGCTAAAAACAGAAGTAAAATAATGTTTAATATCAGTGGGATTTTTTAAGTTAGGTGATATTTCCAAAGTCGGTCGATTATAAATTTTCAACATATTCAAATCTGTTTAGAATTCCTAGAATCGAAATTGTAAGACAAATAAGCCGATTTTTCTCGAGTTATTGTAGAAATTGATTTTTTTCCAACGTTTGTTGTTATTGTTTCCAAATATGAAAGTTGTATGTTTTACCACCCATCAGACGGTGCAGATATTTGGGGACGCCGGGTAACACCGAGTTCCCTCGTAAAACGCATCCCTTTATGCCTATACTTCGCGTTGACCGAAACGCGTTTCCTTTTCTTCTTCATCCCCCGTAGTGGGAATGCCCCGGTAGCCTCGTAAATTCCAGGTAATAAAACGTGGGATCGGGAATGGTTTTTCGCTCCGCGTGCCCAGCGAATCGGTCGTAAAAAAAGGGCTTCCCAAGCGGGCCCGGGTAACATGTTGATTTATCCTTAGCGGGGTTTGTTAAATTTGCCCCGAAAATTCTGCGTTAAAAAGTATGTCTGTAGAATGGATTCAGGTTTACTGGGAACCGTCTCTTTCCCTTCCTTTCTAGAATACTTTTCGCAACTCCGAAAAAAGAACAAAAAGTCGACCAGCCACACTCGGTCCATTTTTCCGGCCATCGCGAACGTAAAGGCCCGAATAAATTTTTACGACCCCCCTCGAAAACGGTCGCCATGGGAATTTTAAGTGGCCATTCGGACGTCGCCGGAGGAGGCGCTAACGGTGTCGCAAGATTGATCAATAGAAAAAAGACTGCAGTAATAACCGGCGGAGATAGTTGGCGGTCAGTTTGTTATAACCCGGCCGATCGACACCCGCTACCCAGAACTTGATTCCGCAGGGACGTATCCGAGCCAGTTCGGGGGATTTTATTGCTTTGGGGAAGTCTTGCTCTCCATGGAAACTAACGGTCAGGTCCGTTACATTTATTACGATGTTTATTATTATTAATTTATTTGAAACCCAAAAGGAAGCATTAAATCGAAGAAAAAGTAACTGAAACTGTTTCAGTCAAGCTCTGAAGAAGCCAACAGGATGATTGGCGAAACGTCAGCAATTTCGACTAAGCAAAAACTGACGCAGGAGGAATCCAGAAGTTTTGTAAAAAGTATTACAGTAGCCTGTGGAAGTTTCTTTGAAAAATTAACCACATGTATAATTAAACGGGTGGTTTCTTCAGTTACAACCCTTACGGCATTTTATCAAAACTACCATCATATCACAATGCAATTAAATAGTACATTAATCTAAACACCTAAATCCGTACCCGTATCTCTTAAAAAATACTTTAATAGGAAAGTGAGCATCGTAACCCGCAAAGTTGTGTTGGTTAGGTTTTGACTATTGTATTTACTGATAACGAAATTCAATAGGCCTCTAATTGATGGAAAATGCAGGATCGCTATCAATCTGTATTTCCCTCCCCACCCCTTTTAAACGTGGCGATATTTTTAAGGGTTGCCAGGTCCTGGATCGAGTTATCTATCGCGCGCCATAAAACCCCAGATGACTTTTTTTTTCGTTTTTCGAACGATATTTTTCTTAGACGACGTTTTGGCCGGGTCAGCGCGCCGAATTCTGGCAACTAACGTCGGCCTTTTAGAGACGGGTCGGTAGGATTTCTTTTTTGTCTTCGCACCTTGTAAATCGTCTCCTCGAACGTGTTGGGTGTCCCGCCGTTCATTTGTAGGTGGCGCAGCCTGTCGTAGTCCAAGGGGTCCACCATCGAGCGCAGGACCGCGTGCTGGCCGAGGTCCGTCAGACCCAGACCGCTCTGCAGCACGCTGTCCGGCGTGTCTACCTGAAACAATTAAAACAAATTCCTAGAAATGAATGAAATCAAAATATTATGTTTGCAACGTTCGACCAACGTCCGTAATTGTAAGAATTGCAAAATGCCGAACAACAATGCCTAGGAGGTCGTACAATTTATTGTTTCATTATTTATTTGGCGGCATATGTGCGATATATCGTAAAAGTAAAATTATTGTTGATTAAAATTTTATTATTATAATTGAGGGCAGGGTAATAATAGCTTTTTAATGGTATAGAATATTTTATGACTGTAATGATTACTTTCACCGAACTTTATCAACGGCTTGGTGCAACTTGTGGCATGTTTAAAAATCGAACGGCGAAACAACTAGAAAGGTATGGTCTGTTCATAAATATAAGAAAGTGATCAATTGCTTGTGAATGGATTATCCAAGGGTGGTCATTAACATATAATGCAACAAGATTATTACCTAAAATTTCGGAATTTAAATTCAAGTAAGATTGTGGTCTGTAATAGAAAATAATTTTATACCTACCTGTGTTTAATATTCTTTGGTTTGGTATACTCCTTAGTTTATGTTTATTAGTAATCATTCTTATTTCGTGTGTAATACAGCGTGTGTCGAATCGTGTAGCGTATCTCAGGAGATGCTCCCGCCCAAATGTAAAAAACACTATTCTATTGAGACTAAGGAAGTTGAGTTGAGTTATTATATTGAAAAATAATAAAAAATTGTTATTGTACTTTGTTTCTTTCATATTCACGCCTGGAAATTTTGGCGCTGGCCTCGTACAAGCCAAAGTACGAGATGCGTATTGGCATACTAAAAAATTTAAAAAAAATGACCGATTATTTGAAACATTAAATATAGTTCCTAAATATTTATATAAAATGTTCCTAAGTAGATGTTAATATATATATATATATATATATATATATATATATATATATATATATATATATATATATATATATATATATATATATATATATATATATATATATATATATATATATATATATATATATATATATATATATATATATATATATATATATATATATATATATATATATATATATATATATATATATATATATATATATATATATATATATATATATATATATATATATATATATATATATATATATATATATATATATATATATATATATATATATATATATATATATATATATATATATATATATATATATATATATAATATTACAGAACACATATAACCTATGCCTATCACTCTTGATAACGAAAAAAAAAGCAGTCTCTTCAATTTCGATATATAGAGTTTCGACTGTATTTATAAAATCTATGAAAAAAGCATTTTTCATATAGCAATAGCACAAGCAATGCCCACAACCTTTCGTCCAGCGTGAATAGCCGCGTTAGGTAAAGGGAAAATAAACTCGCATAACCAAGTGAGGGTCGTAAACCTTGAAGTTGTGAAAAGCATTCGTTTTCTTTTAATCAACATGTAATCTCGCCTACACTTTGCCAGAGCTCGTCGAATTCCCCCCCCCCCGCCCCTTCTCCAACTGTCCGTAGTTTCCGCAAAAAAATAACCCGCCCGGAGACTTAATAAAAATCTTGTTTGCAACACATTTCCGGTGGCTACGACGTGCGCGCGGTGTTTAATTTTCACTTTCCGACTTTCCGGGCGAACATTCGAAACAAACCGACCCCCTTCCACGCCTCCGTATCCGGGTAGTTTTAATTTCTGGCGTTTGCTTTTATTAGGACGAAATGTTTTGAAAAATGCGCCCCGACGAGAAGCAAAATTAAATGGGTGTTTTTTTTTTTTATTATTTTCGCTGCTAATCTGAAAGCGGTGCGTTTGCCCGGAAAATTCCCGCGCAAGTTCCGTGTGTTAGTCAGATTTAAGAAAATGTTACCGACTATAGTTCGACCAGAAATATAGTGCTTTTACAACCGACTCCGTCAGTAACTTGGCCTACTATTTATTCCAGGTCCGTCCTGGGAATTTATCTACCTATACTAACAAGCGGGATATAAGTATATTTTCAATCTTTTTCACACGTACTTAAAAAAATTAGTACAAAATAACAATTTATTACGTTCTATTTCATTACATTTCTACATAGTGTCATTATTAATATACAAAATATTAAATCTAATAATGATAATAAAGTATGTCACTTAAAAAATCGTCACTATTTCTACTGTCGCCACCTAGTTCAGTGATCGAGTCCGCCACTAATCGTTTTCGATAAATATTTTTTTCTTTCATTACTCGTTTTTCACAGTTAGACCAGCTTTGTAGCTAACTCTTGCCGAATTACGTTTATGGTACTATCACTTTTTTTTTAGTAATTCCAAAAGTTTTTTCGTGTAGCTATAAATTATTTGGGCGCAGAAATTCTTTAATTTATTATTTATTTGAAAAAGTATTTAAGTTTTTTTTAATTTGGGCTGAATGATTATGCAACAGAGTAACAGTGTTTGCAGATAGTTTTGGTAACAGTTTATTTTTAAACCAGTCCTCAAATATTTCCGCGGTCATGTTTTCCGTATATAATCCGCACTTGAATCTTTGACGTTTTCTTCTTGACTATAACATTTGCAACAATTTTTCTTGTTGACTTCGGAACTTTGGTCATGTCACTTGTTTTTACTGCTGCTCCCACTTGCCCTTCTGAATTTCTTACCTGAATTTTCCACCAGGGCCCTAGAGGCTCTGGTGGGGTTGCCCTCTCTGGCGGATCGGGTACAGATGGAGGCGGCCAGGACAGCTGTGAGGCTGGCGAGCTGCGGGCTCTGGAGGGAGGGAACCTTCAATCGGGGTCCGTACGACATTTTAGTGGGCTGTCGCGGGGATCGCGGGGTCATGGGCATGCCGAGTGACGTCATGATCCCCGAGATAACCTTCTTTGACAAATTGACCTTTTTCTTTCCATCAAGGGAAGATTGGAGAGAGGGCAGAATCGGCTCCTGGGATGGACTTGTCTGGTACACGGACGGGTCCAGAATGGGAGATCTGGCCGGAGCTGGAGCGTACTGCGAGACAACGGGATCGACCTTGTCGGTCCCTCTGGGTCAGTACTGCACTGCGTTTCAGGCGGAAATTTTCGCCTTATTGATGGCGGCCAGAGAGGTGCTTCGGCTCAACCACGGAAGCAGGAGAGTCTTCTTCTGCTCGGATAGTAGGGCTGCACTCATGGCGCTGAAGTCAGTGCGTACGCGCTCCTTGTTGATAAAGGAGTGCAAAGGGGTACTGAGGAGGGTGACTGAGGAGAGGAAGGTCACGTTGGTCTGGGTGCCGGGTCACAAAGGTATCCGGGGCAATGAGGCAGCCGACGCCTTAGCCAGAGAGGGCTCCTCGCATAGGCATATAGGGCCAGAGCCCCGCTTGGGGATCGCCCCGTGTGTGAGGCGGGGAACTCTCGAAGCCTGGGCGAGAGACCGGGCCGCGGGGGGCTGGAGAGCTGCTCCAGGAATGAGGCAGGCGAGGCTTATGATGGATGGGCCCGCCCTTCCTCGGACCAGGGACCTGCTTAGACTGACCAGAAGGGAGTGTAGAGCACTAATGGGGGCCTATACAGGACATTGAAGGCTTAGGAGGCATCTTTGCTTGCTAGGCATTGGAGACGACCCGGAGTGTAGGTGGTGCATGGAAAGGGAGGAGACCCCGTATCATCTGCTCACCGAGTGCCCTGCCTTGACATGGGCAAGATTGGAAGTCTTCGGAACGGCCCTGATCGATTCGGACTCAGTGCACGGTATTGGGCTAAAGGAGGGGCGACATTCTGGACGACCTCTAGAGCGGCCTGGGGCCACAACATCTGGTGGTCTAAGTGCTTGGACGCCCGCGAGGGCGCCCCCCTTTAATACCAATACCCAATACCAATAATAATACCACCTCCACTTCGTCTTCAAATTCTGTGTTATTTTCCATGTATTCTTCTAATCGGGGAACATCTGCTTCATTCCACGGTCTACACATTTTAAAGTGTTACAAAACAGGAACCTTCAAAAAATTTTTAATTGTATGATTCCAACAAATATTTATCTGTATTCTTAAGAGGCTGTTGAAGACAGAACTATGTAGAAGACACAAAAATACAAGAAGAAGAATGTTGTTAATCGACATGAACACAAGACAAAAATGATTATTTTCAAACTTACTTGTACTTACTCTTGCCTTATGAACTATCCTACCTCGAACTAAACATACATACATACGTACTTACTGAAAGGATATGGAACGTATTGCAATTTATATTTTACTCTTAAGAACGATACAAATCAATAACTGATGTTAAAATAAACGCTTCTACTTATTTGAAAATATAAAACGGTCCATTTACGTTTAAAGTAAAATCTTAAAGTTTTTATAAATATTCGTTAAGGACCATGTCACGCAAGACTTACTTAATACAAAATCAACATCTGTTGGGATGGAAGCTGCGAAGGTCTGCGGTTAAGGTACTGCAAAATACAAAACATGTCAAAGCAATAAATGCACTATTTTTTGGTCGTACAAATACCATGCTTTACGTTTTAGTTTAGAATTGGAAAATTAATACTTTTGTGGCATTGAGTGTAAGCCAAGAATAGACTGCATACTTTAAATTAATGCAATTTTTATCCACGTTTTATGCAGAATACGACCGTTTTATCCTTACTGAACTAGTTCATTGAATTTTTTTCGCTGCCAAATTCATAGATCAATCTGACAATCTGATAAAACGCATTAGCGGATTAGGTCTGCTGTTGAGGTACTGTAAAATACTTAAAACGTCAAAGAAATAAATGCACTATATTTTTGGTCGTATTATACTTTGAAATTTTCTTATCATTTAAGAACGTTATTTTTGTTTCTGTGCGGTTATTGATTCCTTCGTAATCAGACGTGGGAAAAAATATGGCCGAAATACTCGGTTAATCTGCCAAGCGAGAGGAGTACGTTGTGTTTTGCACCCTCGACGACAAGATAATAAAAGAGACCGGCGGGCGGGGGAGAGAGGATGCCGAGACCGGAAGG